TTATTAATAAATTGACTTACTTTGTTATATTAGAACGAAATCACAAACCAACTGTAGAATAATTGAACTTATTTGATATTATCTGTGTCTACTCATATACGTAGATTTAATAATACCTATTTTTGTTCTGTAAATATCTTTTGTATGTAAAAAATTAAAAGTCATAATATCAAATTTATCAAAGTAATTTTTTTACCAAAGTTTAAAATGTCAATTTTTAATTTCTTTTTTTTATAAGATGACAATTTTTTAAAAAATAATTTTATTTTTATTTTAAGTTTCGAATTTAAAGAATTTTGGCACAAAATTGCCATAACCTGAAGAATATGAAAATCATCTGCGTTTTTCAAAAATAAAGCCGCAGTATTTTGAATAAACGAAAACATTGATTCTTGCTGAATATTGTTAGGAGATGGTCAAAAATGTAAGTTTAATTTTTTATCCATAGAAAAAACGTTTTAGTTTAAGGCAATATTTTAACTTGACTATACTCATATGGTACGTTAAGTTTAAAGTGTTTTTTATTTAATAAACCAAATTTAATCTTTCGTTTTCGTTTCGTTTTCTAAATTTCATTTGTATCGTGCAATCAACAATATTTCAAAATATTTTATTTAAAACCTTACGGCTAAAAATTTTTATTATAATAAACAGCATAAATTTTATTAAATTGCCTCTTGATACTGTTTGTTATAAAACAAATTATGCGTTATGGTTTAACAAGTTAAAAGTGAATATGAAAAGGATATCCTTTAACACATTTATACGCATTTAAAACTTGTAATATAGACAACTTTTATGTAAATTACAATTCGCTTTGAGCGAATCCTTGTTATTTCATTTTACGATTGCAGACAAATCAAATTTCACATATCCTACAGATAAAGCACTTTATTTCTTTGTATTTGTCTGCATAGTTTGTAGTTTATAGATAAAATTTTTATGTTACAATATGTCTCAGTTTACACTATTTCATTGTAGTTTGAAGTGTTTGAATTATAACAACTTCATTAAATATAAATTATAAAAAGTTTCAAACATTCTTATAAATTTTGTCCATTTTTTTGAAAGAATTTTTACCTACCAGATATAATTGCAAGTTTTCTCATAAAAATTTTATCGAATTTTTTTTTTCATTGGTAATAATTAAAATTATTGTTGATACTTTCCACGAGTAGTCAACCGAATAGAATTTCTTATTATTTCTGAATCATTTAAAGAGAACAGGATTTGGAACAGAAGCCAAAGAATAGAAATCCTTAATCAATTGAACTTATCCAAAACAAAAGAGGAACAATAGCAAATTGCTTGTATTGTATTTACCAGTTTTAGTTATTTGATATGTTATTGTAACAGGATAATGCTGATGAGAGATAAAATTTGCAGACACAAACATTTAACTGCCAATTTAATGAAAATTGATTTTAATGATTTCAATTAAGCTTATTAAATGCCAGAAAATATTTGATTTTGTTTGTTATATGATAGCAACAAAAGTATTTTTGTGTTTTACGAACAAAGTGAAACTCCATTTGAGAAAATTGTGTTTGAAATCATTTCACTGATGCGAAGAGCAAATATTTGTAGACCACAGAAGTTGAAGTAAATAAGAAATTCTTTCAGCATTCAATAAATTGATTAATTGATGACTTCAGCAATTGTTTCCATAGTTGAGTAAATTTTCTCACCGCTTAAGAGTTGCTTTTGCACTTGCTCGGTAATTAAAGTTGATATGATGGCATTCGCAGCCATTTTTGCCATTAAACAGGAGGACAGACATGCTGGGAAAATGTCTTTTATTTTCTTTTTTACAGTTTCTTAATTGAAAGATAGTTTTAAGTCTCTGCACACATGCTGTTTAAATGCAGCTTAATGGAAGCTCTCTTTTCCACATAAATACATTATTTCTTGTTTCTATTTTTTTTCCATCCTTCATACACTTAGTGCACAAAAGGGTGCTTAAAGTTTGTTTATAGTACATAGTATAGTTGAATAGAAATATCTTAAATCCTCAATCGACTTTGCTAAGTAACTGAACATTAAAAAATATATTTTCTCATTGCGCATAGAAAAAGTTTCTGCATCAAAAGTAACCGGAACTATTATATTATATTTCAGTTATTAGATATTACTTAACCGATTTGTATAGAACGAGTTTCTTTCTATATCAAAAGTATTTGGAACTGTTTAAAAAAGTAATTAAACAATATATATTTAATCGCGTTTGAAAGTAGGCCCCATAATTGATAATAGTTCAAAATAACTATGGCAGTCCCAGCCCTCTTTATATTTTTCGTAGGTTGACTAGAGTGGTTTTTAACTTTTGCAGCAAATTTTTTTTAAACGCAGTCAATTCTAAACGCCTAAGTCCGGTGTTTGATGTCATTAGTTAATTTAAATTTTTTGTCGAAAACTCTTCCTCAACTATTACTTTGTGCCAACGCAGTATACTTCAAAATCGAATTGACATAACAACTAATGTAAGCTTTTGGGGTAATAGCTTGCTTTTAAATCTCGTATGGTAATACAGTATTGTACTACCACCACTGTAGATTATTATAAAAGATTAATAGAACTAAGTTTTTATATATTTGCATGTCTGGTATATCTGGATTTTATTTTCTTAAAATATAAACTATAAAAATAATGTAATTTGCATAAAAAGTCAAGGCTCCTACAACTTGAACAGATATCTGATCTGGATAAATTAGAAGTATATCCAAATATATTATAACAGTAATTTATGAAAAAATTAAGTATGGCCGAAGGTATGGTCTTTAGTTCACGCAGCGAATTATCTTTTATGGCCTCAATGGTCTCAAGACGCGTTCCTCGCAATGGCAATTTGAGTCGGGGGAAGAGGAAAAAACCACGCGGGGCTATATCTGGAGAGTACGGTGCTTGGTTGATGACATTAATGGAGTTTTTGGCCAAAAACTGCGACACAACCAACGCTGTGAAATCCATGAGTTTTCCTTCCATAATTCCTTCCATGGCCTCTTTTTGCGAATGGCCTCACGCAAACGACGCATTACGGCCAAATAAATAAATAAATAATAAAAATTGAACGTCCGAAAAGAATTCATAGTGTACCACACCACGAATATCGAAAAAAACAGTCAGCATAACCTTGATTTTGGACCGACTTTAGCGTTCTCTTTTCGGTTTCGACTCACCTCCGAAGCACCATTCGGTTGATTGTTGTTTGGTGGGCATGTAAAATTCATAGACCAATGTCTCATCACCAGTTATGATGCGTTCGATGAATATTGGGTTAGGATCTGCGTTGGAAATCATATTTTTGGCCACATCACAACGACGCTTTTTTTGAATGAAATTCAGCTAAAAATCACCACACGAAAATTTTTTGACTTCTTTGTTTAGACGCCAAACAAAAACTAATCGTACGATATGCGTTAAACTTTGACAGAATGTGTATAATAGTGTTGTCAGCGTGAAAATAAAAATTTACCGATTGGATAATTCAAAAGGTAAAATTCTCGTTCTTTTTTGATCACAAGGTATATAAGATTTGCTCTTTGCGAAAACATAACATTTGACAGTTTGCAACAGTGATGCCAAAACGTTACGTTAGCAAGCGACTTGTTATTTTTTGCCACACTTCGGACCTGCCGAATGCATCTAACATAAAATTAACAACGTGTATACACTATGTGATATATATGCCTTCAACATAACAATCCGGATATTCAGGTATTATAATACGGGTATCATAATAGTAGTACTTTATAACGATAATAAAACACAAAAAAATCTTTAGTTTTTTTGTTAATATTTATCTTCTTAATAAAACTTGATTTTTTCAACTTTTCAATTTCAAATAAGTTTTTTTCATAGTTACTTGTAAGTAACTGCTCAAATCATACCCTTATCACTATAAAAATAATTGATATGAAGTTGTTACCAACAAGTTTGATTTCTTTTATGAGAATATTATATTGAATTCCCACCCAAGGGAAAATGTTAACAATCTTAAATAAGTGTATAAGCTCTGCTCTATCAAAAGCTATCATTAATGTCCTTAAAAAAATTGGATATGTGATCCTTGTATTATATGTTAAGTGGGTGTATGTGTACTTTACACTAAGTAAACTGAAAAATATATTTAAATAAAAGGAACCGAAAAAATTTATAACAAGCGAAGGCAAATATTACACATATCATCAATCATTTCCATAAATCCTATAAAAATCAGCGAAGTAATGGGAAGTTTTGAGGTTAAAATAGCGTAGCGTTTTGTTTAACTATGACACCGAATCCACGTCATCAACTGACAAATTTTACAAGTCAATGAATTGTGAAAACTGTTTGGTTTTCTACTTAAATGGAATTTTATTTGTAGATACGGAACGTGCATAAAAATGATTTTCATCGTTTTTTTTTATACAGGATATAAAAAAGTTTTGAAATTTTTAGTTATGAATATTTTTAATATTTAACTTGTAACTATAAAAACCTTGTTTCTTGGGTTTTTAAGTATTTTTTAAGTAGATTTATTAAATTATTTGTATTCATTTAAATTATGAAAGTAAATTTTAGAGGGAAGTCACAAAATATATAATCCAAAAAAAGCTCTTCTCCTATTGTACATTTTTCAGAAAACAATATACGTCACATAAAAATGTGGTTGCTGTTTATGTAGATGTTAGAAAAAATATACTAAAAATTACTAAATATTTAATATAAATTAAGCTAAGCTATATCTGTCCTAATTTTTTAATGCGAACATGTCATTCTTCTCATATTTTTTGATTGACTATCATATCCCTGTTATAAAACTTTGCTATAGTGTGTAAGTCGCTCATATCAATTGTGAGCCGAACTTTGGTAAGGTTGATTTCGGACCAAACCTTATTTTGGTAGTTTTGTTATCACCCATAGGTTCAATAGTCGCGCACAAGTCTGTCGTTAGATTCTTATTATGGCATATAACCTCTTTGAGGCACTCACTATACGTACCGCTTTATTCTGTCAGTTCTTTCGATTATGTAGTTTTTGTTTTTAGAAAATGAAATTCTGTCACCTAGAGGTTTAACATACTCTGCTATTGTAAGATGTTTTACATTTGTGCTGATGAAATCATATTGTTTTTTTTCTGCTAGGGTCTAAAAATAATAGGTAAATTAGAAAACAACGCTTAGTTAAGATGGTATTCTCTTAGAGCTGTTGCCCACATTGACTATTATTAGTTTTTAGCTATACCCCTCTCTAACTCCTGAAGCGAAGACTTTAGAGGATATTTAGTTTTTAAAATTGATTTGGTTAATGTGATTTTCATTTTTTCACAATACAATATCAATAAAATTACTTATTACTATACTACCTTATGCCTCTGTCAAGTTAATCTGTTATATTATATTGTTCTTTCTATATTTTGTAATATTTTAAATACGTTTGTTAACTTATTTTACTTAAAGCTACTCACTTCATTTTATATACAACAATAAACATATTTGTAAAGTAATAATTTTATAAAACATTATCTGCATATTAGCTAAATAAATAATGAAATCAATTTTCTAGGAATCTGTAATATTTTAAGGCCACGTGAAATATAGACATCTTGATGAAAAACATCATTGTACAGTAACATACCTATATACGTCTTGGTATAAGAAACTAATAGTCTACAATAAATCATGTAGTTCAAGTCTATATGCTTTGAACTAATGGTTTCCGATTATGGAGCAATTTAGTTCAATATTGAATATTGAATTTAATATTGAAAGATTGTTTATACCCATTGTATACTTTAATCGCATATATCAAAAAAAAATTTCTACTTTGCTTTATTCATATTCAGTATCATAGTGTGTTCAGTGTATATTACTTCAAAGTTCATTTTTTAATGATGGTCAGACAAATTAATCCGACAATAATTGCAAAATGACTTCAAAATTTATTTCAACTAAATAAGAATTTTTCAATAAATCATTCAGAATTCCGCAGAGATAAATCATATTTCACAAAGAGAAAGTTAGTTGGCATGACAGTGGATGCTGTGCATTAAAAAAGTTTCTAAGTAATTTGAATTTTATTGCAAAGTAAACAGCAGTAAAAATGTTTTTAATATGATGAGGGTGAGGGTGTTTATGTCTCAGCACAACACAATTACTTACAAATACACAATTCAGCAAGAACAATTTTAGACTTTAATTCAGACATGTACTTAAAGGTACTACAAAATTTGATCAAGTATTTATGCACAATTAAATCTCAAACCTCAAAATCTTACAATGTAAGTCAATGTTATATATGTTTTTATCACAAAATTTCTGTCTCAATAGTTTTAATTTTCAAAACGTTGAACTTTAAATAAGTTCTGTTGGCTAAAAGCTGATTATACGTCATTATGTTGATTTAAAAAAATTATTACTAAATATTTTTCAGAAGTATGATATTTATAAAAATCTGTCTTACTACAATGGCAGTCGCGACTACAAAAGTACGCACATTCACTAGTATACCTATGTGAATGTGGGTACTTTTCTTGTGATAATATTAGATGATAAATATCACTTCTAACAATCACTTCCTATGAATTAAATGCTTTCTACGACAAACGTTTAAATTTTTAATTAATCAAATCAGTTGTGTCAGTTTCTACAAATAGAAATGTTCAAAACAGTTAAATTTTTGGAGAGAGCCTGATCCACACATTATTGTGCTCAATAGCTTTTTCCATGTCTTCATAATTACAGCTAATACAGAAGTCTCTATTGAAGGCATCTATTATAATCGCATGCATACCTATATGTAAGACAGAGATGCCAGTGTTAGATTGTTATATATCAGATTTATTTTCTTTTTTAGACATTTTCAGTTATTTTCTGTCTAAAAAGACGTTTAAAGAAGGGTACAGAAATGTACTGACACGAAAATATCTAAAAATTTCATTCTAAACTTAATCGATGTGTAATTATAACAATATTTGTGCACTTTATATTTTCAATTAGAAGAAAAAGCATCCACAAATTATCCGCAACAACAATTCAATGGTACAATTGAACATCTATATTATCTATAGAAACATTTAGACATACATGGAAAAGTTAGATAAAGGTTATGTAGTTAGAGTACGCTATAAAAACGAAATTCCGGTTTCGAGGATAAAGTTCTGATGTACACTGTGACATTAAAAGGGGTATGAATATGCACTTCTAAAATATAAAATATCTAAAACCTCTTATCTTAACAAAGCTCCAATGGCATTAACCAATTTCTTCATTAATCAACACCTTAGCATATCTCTTCAAAATTAACAAGAAAAGGAAGTATATGCGCCTTAATATAATAGCTGTAATCTTCATGATAAGAGGCTGTGTGCGAGATGGTCCAGGAGTTATTAGAGCTATTAAATGTAATTTATCTATAATTGAAAAGAATTAATAATACTAATGCCGTTTTCGATTGGTAATTCTGTGGTAACTTTTTCAATCGAGATTTACTTTCAGTGAAATTTTTATTTTCGATCGGTAATTCTTGAGTAAAATGTATATCACTCGAGATTAAGTTATAACACTCTAGATATTTTGCCAGAGTAGCAAGATTACACTGAAATTAGCAGCTGTTTTATATGACTTGACAAATAAAATGTGATTGGATTCGATGTAATATATAATAATATATATACAATATATTATATATATATACATCATATATATATATTAATATACATGTAATATATAGATATATATTATATTTAATAAATACTACAAAATAATAATACTACTACAAAAATGTTAGATTACTCTGAAAAGTTCGATTGGTCAACAAAATTTGACAGATCAAGAGTAAATCTAGATTGAATGCAGATTTATCTATTGAAAACGCCATAACTGTAATTGACGTTTTATGTAATCATAAAAGTAAATGTTTTTTCTGCAGATTTTATTATATTAATTTTCATTTGATTAAACTATCACGAGAGAATCTTGCCATCAAATTTAATTAATAATAACATATTTTGATTTAATTTACTATTTTACTTATTTATATGTACTCTTAATAGAATTTGTCGTATTTATTTATTGCTATCAATAAACCAAAATTCCACTGTTTTATGCTGCTTCGGAACATGGCTTTGATTTAGTGGCTTATATAATAAATTCGCAATGACTCTACTTTCTTTCGTTTTATTAATGCTTAAGTTGAGTGAGTAAACCAACCCAAATCAAAGTAAATTATCCGTGAATTGCCCAAAATCAATATAAAAGCTTAGTGAA